GTATATCCAGTAACATCCAGTAACTACCCCGTATATCCAGTAATCCAGTATAATCCAGTATATCCAGTAACTACCCCGCTGTGGTCTACACTATATAAACTCTTGGCGGTGCCTTTGATACACCCACACACTGTAGTACAAATCAAGTTTAGATTAGTACATGTATACGTTCATACATAGCATATACATGCATGACTAACTTATAGATTATGCATGCACTTTTGTGTGTTGATTTTACAGCTTACTCTTAGCTCCAGTACAAGCTCTCTATGCTTGATCCTAGCTGCTTCTGTTTGCTCATGGATAACTGTCAACTGCTTGTCAACTTTTCGCAACTCTTTCTCAGCTGTTTTTATTGTTTTTTGAGCATCAGCATTTTTCTTATAACTATAATGAGAATGCAAAATAAACAAACGCCATGCACTTGTGAATGAACTAATTTTCAGTAAACAGTGGTAGTCAATAAAGTATGTTTACTTTACCTAAGAGTAGTTTGTTCTTTCATTTCTTCTATTTCATGGTGCATGTTCTCATTGCTCTCTCTACACTCTCTCATCTCCTTTGTCCTTGACTGGACTTGAGCCTGAAGTACTCCATCTTTTTTGCTTAATGTCATCTCATGCTCTTTCTGCTCTACTCCAAGCCCAATTAAGTTCACATTGAGGATATCTATCTCTCTATCGAGATCTTGCACATGTTCCGAGAGAACTTTAACCTAAAGTGTGTCATTTGTTACGCGAGTCTTACAATTATCTCATAATCTTATTGTTTTACTTCATGCGTAATTTTCTTGTGTTTGGTCTCAAGTTCATGAAGTTCACTGTCTTTTATTTCTTTTTCTTGCTTGTAAGCCATTTTCGCTGTTTTAGCTTGTTCAATGCCTTCTATTATTGATTCCTAATATTAAATATAAAAAGTTTACTTATTCGTCAGTACATGTACTCAGTGTTCATCCAATTTTCCTAATCTCTGTATATATACCTTGGTAGCTATGGATTCCTTTAAATCCTTCTGAACTACATCAACTTTCCTTTGGAGTTCTTTTATTACACGTTCCATTTGTTTGATCTCTGCTTCAGCATTTTCTTTAGCCTATGTATAAATAATTTATTATACTGGGCTATATTATGGTCTTAAATATTATCAGTAAATACACTACTACATTTTATCTTACTTGATGCAGCTTTCTTTTCATTTTTGCATAGTCTTCTTGTCTGTTTCCGAGCTCTTGGTTAGTCTCCGTTTGCTTGTGGACTATAACAGCCATATTAGCTGCCTGTTCCTGTATCTTCTCTTGCAATAATGAAGACTGCTTGTTGAGAAGGTCAACACTTTGCTATTGTGATCAAAAAAATGCAGGCGTGACAGGTGCTGTATATAAATTGTATTAATGTGTGAATTATGATACCTTCAGTTTAACATTCTTGTCGATGATTAGTTTGACGTCGTCTTGTATCTGCTTGAGGTGACGTCCTTCAAAGCCAGCATGCCATTTCATTTCAAGCATATCTTGAAGACATTGTTCATGCTCTGATTGAGGGAGAGGAAATTTATGTAATACAATAAGAAACATAAATACAGCGTACATATAAAATAGACACAAAGAATCGTGTAAAATGATGCTGTAAGTCATTTCTTTGCTTGCCTTTTTGCACTATATTTGCTAGTATTTTCAACCTTTCGGCAGCCTTTGCATCCAGCTTTGCCCTCATGTCTTTAACCTTTGATTTCTCCTCTTCAAGCAAGCCAACAGTCTCCTTCCTATCCTTTTCTAGCCTCATGATCAAACTCAGTGACCTAGCTATCGCTTGATCTGCAGTTGACCAGTCAAACTGATCTGCATGCTGTACAGCACTTGAGTCAGTTGCTGTCTTGCTTAGTTTCCTTGCAATGCCTGTATGGACACCACGGACCTGAAGCTTTTTAGTTTTACTCTCGGTTTTACTAGTAGCTGTATCAGACTCTCCTTCAGTTTTATGATCTGGACTAGTTATTTTTAGCCTGCTGCTGGATCTATTTCCTGCTAGTCCACTTGACACACTTGGTACTACAAACCCTTTCTCAAATGATTCATGCCATAGCTCCAGTTGCTTCTTCAATGCAGAGAGAAGTGATGTAGCATTCTCCACACACTTGCCATCGTTTCCAAGCAGACAGCTCCCTTCATCACAGCCATTTCGACTAGCTCCAGTAGTCGGTGTAGTGGCCATGGAGGGAGAGGCTGAGGGGACACTGGGACCCTTCTTCATGACCCAATCCATTGTTTGGGTTACTATGGATACTTATGGGCGGGGCCAAGACACAAAAAGGAGTGGTCAGTATAATAAAACCCGCGTTGTGGCGGGCTATAAAAGCAAGATGGCGGTAAAAATGGAAGTAAAAATGGAGAGAGAAGATGAACAGCTTTCGCACAGTGATCCTTTAGAACTGGAGGATAGGATACTGGAACTGTGTACTGCTAATGAGAAGGGGATCACTGAGCAGACCATAATTACTGATCAACCTTCCATTAACGTTGAAACGAGGAAGAAAGCATTACAAAGACTCTTATCTGTGGTAGGTGTAAGTTTAAAAAGTCTTTGTAATTATATGTAGTACCCCAAATTCATTGTCAGAAAAACTTTGCACATTTGTTACTATTTTTATAAATTCAATGTAGTTTTTGTTAGCGTTGCTTCAATTAGTTTTCACTTTTCCATGTTATGCGCATTAAATACGGATGTTATTATTTAGGGTAAGATTGAAGTATATAAGCAAGGATCCTCGCTTATCTACCGTCTTAAAACTAATGTTGGAACAAGGTACTTTAATTATAATGATTAGTATTTATTTTGTTGTTTCTTCTGCAGTAGTACTAAAGGCTTTGAGTTAGAAGAGAAGGTTGTATATCAGATCATTGAGGGAAGTGGAACTAAGGGAATATGGACACGGGACATTAGGACCTCGTCAAACTTAACCGACCTACAGATCAACAAGTGTTTAAAGACACTCGAGAGCAAGAAGCTGGTGAAGAAAGTCAAAACTGTCCCTCCATCAAAGAAAAAGATTTATATGTTGTTTGATTTGGAACCAGATGAGTCATTGACTGGTGGGGCTTGGTACAGTGACCAGGAATTTGAAACTGAGTTTGTTGATGTACTTAATGTGAAATGCCAACAGTACCTTCAGAAAAAAGTAAATGTCAGATTTTAACAAGAATCAGGGTTTGCCACAAATTATGTTCAGTGAGCTAAACAGCATGAGCTTCATGAGCTGACAAGCACTACAATACAGTACATGGCATTTGGAGCAACTTCAAAAATTCATAAAAAATCTAATTTTGATCAGAATCAGCTCAAAGTTAATACACAGCATAAGAGCATGTATATGTATCAGAAAAAAATATAAAAATGAAGAATTCTCTTCTAGTCAATTTTGCCAAAATTTGGCCCGAGACACAAGGCTATAGCCTTTGGTCATTGGCCTGATTTTTGAGCAACTTTAAAAACTCATAAAAAATTCAAATTTGATCGGAATTAGCTCAAAGTTGATATACAGCATAAGAACATGTATATGTATCAGAAAAAATTATAAAAATGAAGAATTCTCTTCTAGTCAATTTTGCCAAAATTTTGCCCGAGACACAAGGCTATAGCCTTTGGTCATTGGCCTGATTTTTGAGCAACTTTAAAAACTCATAAAAAATTCAAATTTGATCGGAATTAGCTCAAAGTTGATACACAGCATAAGAACTGTATATGTATCAGAAAAAATTATAAAAATGAAGAATTCTTTTCTAGTCAATTTTGCCAAAATTTGGCCAGAGACACAAGGCTATAGCCTTTGGTCATTGGCCTGATTTTTGACAAGAATCAGGGTTTGCCACAAATCATGTTCAGAGAGCTAAACAGTATGCTTCATGAGCTGACAAGCACTGTTTAATAATACATAGCTTTTTGAGCAACTTTAAAAATTCAAATTTGATTGAAATCCGATACACAGCATGATACAGTAGCATGTATATGTATCAGTAGAAAATATATAAATGGGAAATTCTCTCAGAGCCATTTTTGACAAAATTTAGCCAACAAAGTCCCTTTACTATAGTACAGGGTGTTTTGCTCAATTTTAATTTTTTTTAATGCAAATTTGATCAGAATCTGCTCAAAGTTGATACACAATATAAGGACATGTATGAGAAAAAATTTTAAATGGAGAGTTTTCTCATTTCTCGAAATAAGTACCATAATTATAGCCAGAAAGTTTTGTGGCAAAAAAACTTTAATGGTTTGATGGCTCCCAGTCTATTTGTGGTTTTCATTTTCGTGGATCATCAGTGAATCTCCCATGCCTCTCATAAACCTGCAAATATTTTGTGGTTTTTAATTTCGTGATGTCATTCCAAACATGAAAGTTTTTGGCCACGAAACTTTCCAGCTATATGGTATAGTACAGTCTCTTAAAATACCCTGTACTGTATTGCAGGGTATTTCATTAGGAGAGGATTCTTCATTTTATTTTTATATGATTTTGTAGGCTCGTAATGCATGTAGTGAACACAGTGCTCCGTTATTGCAGAGAAGAGCTTCATCTGCTACAGTCAGTGAAGTCTGTGAATACATTAAGAAGCTTAACATCAGTAGAGTATGTTCATAAAATTACCCGATACTTTTATCCTTTAATTGTTACTACTCTCTCCTTCTATTCCCTTCTTTTATTCCATTTTCTTAAAGGCCTCCATACACTAGGCAACATGTTGCTGGCAACTTTGTGGTTACTTTGATCTTGTAAGCAACATGTTTCCAGAAATAGAAAGCTGTTCTATTTCTGGCAACATGTTGCTTACAAGATCAAAGTAGCCCCAAATGCTGCTAGCAAAATGTTGCCTGTTGTATGTTGGGCTTTAAAGTTTATCTTTTGTTGCATTTCAATTCATCTCTATGTTATCATTAATCTGTACTTCTCAGGTTGATCTGACTCATCGTAATCTTGAATCAATCCTCAATACTCTGGTGTTTGATGGTAAAGCGCTCATGACGCATGAACTAGGCCCTGATGGAACTGCCATTAAAGTGTACAGAGCCACTAAACTATATACTAATGGCGGACAGCATCTTGTGCCTGGCTTCAGCAGAACACCTTGCGGAATTTGTCCGGTGAGTTTTGATTTAATAATAATGACATATAAATTGCATATTGGAGTGGAATGTTTGTGCATTTGGGAAAGTTTTTGTATTGATTTGTGGTAGTAAAGGGAAAGCACCAGGCTGCCTCCCTATAATTATTTTTAAAATTTAAGGCATGACTTTTCAGTTATCTTTTGTTCTTCTTGAGAAGCACTTATGATTTATTATTATTAGGTTATTGATCAGTGTACACCTGATGGCGCCATCTCTCCATTGAACTGTACTTATATGAAAGACTGGCTTCGGTTTTGAATGTGGAAGAGCTACATTATTTAATTCTAACGAGTAATTTTTAAAGAGTTAAATGTTTATACTGTTGGTTTATTTGTTAATGCACCAATGCACTAAGATGACTATTCATATCTATGATTCATTGATTCGTGATAAACCGCGCCCTACTGTTATCTTGGCATGCAATTGGGCGTATGCTGCTACTGTAGTCGTGAGTGTGGTGTTAAAAGATGGCTAGCTCTAGCTTGAAGCAAACGCTGAAAGCTCTGTATGCTGAGCTTGTAAGAGGATTGGATCCGGACTCTGCGAGCGAGTTCTTCTCTGAAGGTCTATTGACTAACTCAGAGAAAGAGTCAGTCGATGCCGGAGCCACCAGGACCAAGAAGAACAGGAATTTGATGGATGCACTCCTAAGACGGGACCCTGAAAAAGCTCTCCAGAAGATCATAGAAGTCCTGGAAGGAGAAGAAGGAGAGGATAAAGTAGCAAACGAGGTGTTGCTGCGAAAGATAGAAGAAAGTCAGTCATTGCACTGATAAGCATCAGCCTTTTAATCATTTTTTCTTCTTATCTCCCCACTAGAATATCCCCATTATTCATATGAGAACGGGCTGCAACAACAACAACAACAACAAGGACCACCTCCTCCAGCTGAAGTACCCACTCGAGAACCCATGAACATTCCAGTTGACATCAAACCAATTGGAGTAATACCACGAGGTAGCGGGCCGACCAAACCTGCGGCTATTCCTCAAATAGCTCAAGTATCAGCAACCACTCCACATAATGAAGGAACTGATGGTGGTAGGAGGGACCGCTACCCAATGAACAGTGTACCTCGTGGCTACTGCATCATCATCAACAATGAGAAGTTTGCAACCTTAAGAGAAAGGGCAGGCAGCAAATGGGACGCTGATTCTCTCGAAGAGCTGTTTCGTGAGTATTTGGGTTTTCACGTCGAGCGTTACAATGACCTTGACTCGCAACGGATTCGGAAGCTCATGAAAAGTGTACAGGAGCAGGATCATAGTCGACTGAGTTGTCTAGTAGTTGCAATTCTTTCTCATGGTGTGAATGGTCAGGTATATGGAACTGATGGAGTCCTGATAAAAGTAGATGACCTAACAGATTATTTCAATGGAAGGTGGTGTCCGTCACTAAATGGCAAACCGAAAATATTTCTCCTCCAAGCTTGCCGTGGCGGTAACTTCGACTACGGAGCTATCAATCCAGAGAGCACAGATAGCGGGGAGATGGACCAGTCTGTAGTGTCTCAAATTCTTGATGAGGATGAAACTGATGGAGGCGGCTATTCTCTTTTGCCAGATAATGCCGACTTCATACTTGCATATGCTACAACACCTGGCTACGTGTCTTGGAGGAACTCTGCCTTTGGAACATGGTTCATTAAAGCATTTGTAGATACAATGTACGATAAAGCATCCACAGATCATTTCATGGATAACCTTATTGAGGTTAATCGGATTGTTGCGGAGGAATATGAGTCCCGTGGCAAGCAGAAGCAAATGCCTGCTCCGGTTACGACACTCCGCTACAAGCTGTACCTCCCACCAGTGAAAAGGAAATAAAACAGCTACTTTAGTCATTTGTAGTACATTACCTGTAATCATAGATACTCTATGCTGTAATCTACATTATTTTTTGCTTCTAAGAAATTGCATTTTGCAAGAAAAGGGAGTAGCTACTTGAGTGGGCGTGGCTCATTTTTAATTAACGACTTTATACTGCGCATGCGCAGTAGTTACACATTTTCTGCACTAAAAATGGCGGACGCTGGGTTCTTCAGGGTAAGTTAGTGTAAGTGGATTTTATGTTAGTGTGCAATAGGGAACGAGTACAGAGCAGGACGCCCGTTTCTTTAACAAGGAAAAGAAACTGCGCAACTCTATAAAAGTTCCTCCTATAATAGACACTAAGGTTGGCTGAATTTATAATTTTTATTGAAAACCTAATTTTTTAGATTGACATGCACAAAGTTAACATAGACGTTATCAAGCCATGGATTACAAAAAGGATAACTGAACTCCTTGGAATGGAAGATGACGTCATCATTGATTTCTGTTTTAATCTGCTTGAGAAAAATCAGGTAATACAGAAAACAGGAGGGAAGGGAACAAAATGAAATAGAGCTAATATATTTATAATAGTAATGAATTACCTGAAAAATATATATCATATTTATCAACTAACATTATAGCAGTAAGGAGGTTTGCTATGTAATGATAGAATAGATAGGAATAAAGGGGAGGGAGGGAGGGAATGAAACTGAGAAAGGAGATTAGCTTCATGTACATCTTGAAAAGGATCTGTTCCCTTTTTGCTTGTCACCATCTGAATTTGATTTATTGGTTAAATTTATTCGCATGCCATTCCTGAAATCCTGAAAGAACTTAACTGAATAATACATATTAATTATGATGTGTTGACTATTTGTCGTTGATGTTCACAGTTCAACTGTTACTAGTTTCCAGATGGTCGGGAGGTCCAGATGAACCTGATGGGGTTCCTGTACGGAAGCAAAGCAAGGATATTCATGCATGAGCTCTGGTGTCATCTAATTAGCGCCCAGGAGAGCGTGGGCGGGATACCAGCTGCATTTATTGAAGAGAAGAAACAAGAAATATTACAAAAGCAGGTTAGTATATACGTGTACTTGAGTCAATCATGTACATGTATTTGTTCAAAGTTGTGTGTGTTGCACTATAAAGACTAATGCCGTATAGTGGACAATTTTTTATGGATTTTGCGTTTTTCAAATTTCACGTAAAATTTGTGATAATCAATTTAATACAGTTCAAGATGGCCAAAAGTAGAAAGCCTTGAAATTGATTTTTGGGTGGATCTGTGAAATTTTTGGGCCATGAAAATTTTCCGCTTTACGGTACCCAATTTTTAAATGTTATTTTATGAAAGAAAGAGGAGGAGAGGATCAACGCTTCAGTGAAACGTCACATTGAACAAAGTAAAGATGAACAAAGAGGAGAAGTAGAAGTAAAGAAAGAACCTTCTAGTAGTTCTCTCGTCAAAGGAGACAGACTGTTGGAAGTGACTAATAGAAGCAAAAGGTACAACATTAATGTTAAGCATAGTCCAGTAAATGATCATGTACTAATAATAGTAGAGAAGATTATGAGATATTATTAGTATAGTAGTAATGTACCAATTGGAAGCAAAGGAATCTGTGCAATAAAGTGTACTGATTACATTTGAACTGGTTCCACTCAAGTTGATTTTAAAGTTGCTCAAAAATCAGGCCAAAGACACTGTACTATAGTACAGGGTTGGGCCAAATTTTGTCAAAAATGAAAAGTAGAGAATTCTCCATTTTTATAACTTTTCCTGATACATATACATGTACTTATGTTGTGTAGAAAGTTTGAACTGATTCCAACCAAGTTTGGATTTTTTATGAATTTTTTAAGTTGCTCAAAAATTTGGTCAAAGTCCCTGTACTATAGTACAGGGTCTTTGGCTAAATTTCGACAAAAATGGCTACGAGAGATTTCCTCATTTTAATAATTTTTTCTGATGCACGTACATGTTCTTACGTTATGTATAAAATTTAAGCTGATTTTGATCAAAAGTGGATTTTTTACGATTTTTTAAAGTTGTTAAAAATCAGAAGACCATAGTCACTTATGGAGCATACATTTATGATAGGTCGGCATCACCAGGCCGTGAATCAGAGAGGAAGAGAAATCGCTCAAGATCACCAGAAAATACCAGCAGATCGTATCGGAAGCATCGCAGCAGGTAAGAGAATATCGCTATGATAATAATATTATAATTGTTGCTGTTGTTAAGGTCTCCTGGAGGAGGAGAAGGAGGAGACAATTTTGCTGAAATTAGACATCGTTACCAAGAGGAGAGGAACAAGTACTACCGAGAGAAAGAGAAACACGATCGTCGGAGACACTACAAACAAGACAGGAACGAGAGAGATAGGAGAGAAGACAGAGATAGAGATAGGAGGGATGATAGAGAAAGAAGAGATGACAGAGAAAGGAGAGATGATAGAGAAAGAAGAGATGACAGAGAAAGAAGAGATGAGAGCAAATACAATGAAAGGAGATACGAAGAAAAGAGGAGAGAGGAGAGGGAGAGAGATGTGTCACACTCTCCTTCACCATCAGCCAGTGACTCACCAGGTAATATAACTAGTACAATATTATATTCTATTGGATATTTGAAATGATAATATTTAATGTTTAAAGTACTCCTGATAAAGGGCATTAATTGATAGAAGTGGATTATTCTGGAACAAATAAATACAATTATTATACTTTTAATGATAACAAGAATTATTCTCTCCTTTATATTATCCTTTATTATTATTTTTAGAGCGTATAAAATCCTTCATTACATCTGTCATTGCTAGCAAAGGCACTAATGATGATGAAGATGATGAAGGGAGCAGTTCTTCAGAGAATAGTGACCAATCCTCTCCTCGTAACAGTGAAAACGAGATGAGCTCGGAGTCAGTGCCAGTTCACTCGGACAAAGAGGATGAGAAAGAGGGAGAGGAAGGAACGAGCTCTTCTGAATCAGAGATCAATGATGAAGAGAGCCATGAAGATGAAGATGATGATGATGATGATAAGAAATCAGATTCAACCGATTCGCCATCTCCTACACCTGAGAAGAAGTATGCAATGTATATAATAATGGTAGCTATTATCAAGAGATGTAAATGTAATAATAAATCTCAGGTACAATATCTATCAGAACTGCTTCATGATATACATGTAATTAATTGTTGTATGTCATTTTATAATGAGATATTGTTTATTCTGTACATGCAGATCCCGAGATAGGTCTCATGAAAGAACTCGTAAGAGATCAATAGAAAGATCTCGCGTATCACGTCGATCGCCTCACAGATCACCTGTTAGATCACACCCACGCTCACATAGATCACCCGAGAGATCTTCGAGATCAAGACGTTTGCCAGATAGATCAAGAAGATCACCAGAGAGGTATCGGAAATCACCGGATAGATCATGGAGGGTACCTGAACGATCAAGACGCTCTCCAGAGAGATCACATAGATCACCAGAAAGATCACGAAGGTCACCAGAGAGATCACGAAGGTCACCAGAAAGATCACGAAGGTCACCAGAGAGGTCACGAAGGTCGCCAGAGAGATCACGAAGGTCACCAGAAAGGTCACGGGACAGGAGGCACAGGTCACCCGAGAGGAAGAGAGAGAGATATGAATCACCAGTTGGGAAGAAGAGAAAGCACAGGAGATCATCTGTCACTGATAGTGAGGTAATAACACTTTGTTATTAACCTTATTATTATTATTATTGCTTTTATTATTATTATTATTGCTGTCATTATTAGGATGAAGAGTCATTGGATAACACAAGATCTAGTGATGATGATCGTGTGAAACATCACAAGGTGAGAAAGACAAGTGTGAATATATTACACACATGTAAATCAATTAATACTTTATTTTTAGAAGCATAAAAAGCACCACCGCAAGCATTCAAAGAAGCACAAGAAACATAAATCACATCATGTGACTGCTAGCTCTGAGAGCAGTAGCAGCAATGAAGATAATGACAAAGAAATGGAGTTGAGGGAAAGAGCACTCCGGTCTTTAAAGAAAAGGAAAGGGCTTTAAATGGAATAGAATTATGAGTACTCTTCACTTGTCTTTTGTCCTGCCCACACAAACAATGAACATAATACGTTGTTTTAATTATAATAAGTTAATAAAAAGAGATAATCATTGTTATTTTGTATAATTATTAATTCTTTTCTCTGAGGACAGTTGAAGGTGGTTGGGGAAGGAGTGACGACATTATTTTTGTTGAGTGGTTGGCATAGATCATCTTATCTTTAGAAATATCATCATCTCCATTGATAACCTGTGACATTGGTGGAGAGGGAGGGAGTAAGGGAAGAGCAAAAATTGTGATAATAAAGAACAGTGTATTGAAAATTCTTTGTTAAACATTACATGATAATTGTCTGAGTCAAAATCTGACCACTTGTACATCAGAAATAAAAGAATGGAATAGACATTCAAAATTACATTAGGATGGGTATAAGAACATCTTGCAGTCAAATAAAATAATTATTTAATTATGTCATGTACCAGTACAGGTGTGTTCCCATGCCATTGATGATGAGCCTTATCTCCTAGCCATTCCTCATAGCATTCATGAAGACTTTCCAAGTAAGACTGGAGAAGAGGGAGTAATGATATTATAAAGGTTACCATGATACTTACTAGTTGTACTGGGCTTTCCTCTTGTCTCCCTCTCTCTTGTAATCTTTTATAACAAACTTCTGGTGAAGCTCTTATGTATACTGGGGAAGGAATGAGAGGAGGAAGTTTGTGGGTAATGCACATAAACTACATACGAGTGTATTATGACTTACCAATGAGGTCTAGGTGAGGAGGATTGGTCTTCATTATGTACTCAAACCATTTGCAGTAGCACGAGTACTCAGCATCATCAAGTATACCACTACATATTACATATAAAATATTATGTGTAATGCGGTCTATCTGGAAATTTTTACTGTGATTTTAATTTTACTGCATTAGAGCTTTGCAAAAATTAGACCACACGTATAATTATTACATTCCACATTCAATAATACACGATACAGTCTCATTTAGTAAAAACTAAATCACAGCATAATTTTAAATGCATAGTGCGTGAATTTCCTGATTCATGGTATATCATTAGACTTATACTGTAACTGACTTGTTGTGAAGGTTCTCAATGAAGCAAAATCTTGCGCTGAAGATACTTCTCTCCAACATACACACTGGACTAGCCTGAGAAAAGGAAGTTGAAATGAGTCATAATGACTTTTAATTATTTTACTGTTTCTTTGTGGTGTAGCTCCATCATTGTTAGAAGGACGTACGACTGGAAAAGATAACTCCATCTTTTGGGATCCTGATACATTCTCCCCTACAGGAGGAGGAGGGAAGTGAATCAAGTCATCAGCTGTTTAATGTTTTTTGCTTGACTTACAATTAAGTTTGAGCCCCCAATGTCCCGCCATTTATCGACAGGTTCTATTAGCACCTACAAGGAGACAATAAGAGATAATGAGACACTGATAGTAAGCCCTGACCTCTACATCATGCAGCTGTGAGAGTTTCTTCAAAAGTGTGGATTTACCACTTGCTATATTTCCTTCCACGGCTACCTAGAGGCTCAAAGTAAATACAGAATATTCTGTGGGCAGAGACAATACCCTCAGCTTTCTCCCGGATCCCTTTCTGGAGCTTTTGCTACTGACATAGCTTCCTATCATCTTTTCTTTCTCTGTCGCAGCTATTTGCCCGCCAAAATACAAGTCACCGCCTTCTCTAACCAATCACATTGGTTCACTCACGTGTTAGACTAACTCTTTATAATACAACAATTTTTTATTAATCATAAAAATGAATATTTCTTCAAAAATTGAAACTTCTTAGACTTTTTCTCAACAGTTTCTATTAATTTTGGTGTCCATTTCACTTTAAGTCTTGACCTTGAAATATCTTTAAAAACAGCTTTGGAGCACCGACTAACGTAATCCTTGCTGCATTTCACTTGTAAACGATTGCAGAGTCTCCTAATGGCTCCATTTGGCCTGTGAATCAGATCAGAGTTATGAACTTCTATGACATCCAACTTTAATTGCTTGATCATCTTCATGACACTACGGACTTGTCTGAAATACAACGTAACTTGTTTTTTTAATTCCTTAATGTTTGTATACGGCTCCTGGCTAGTAGCAGCTTTTCTAGCGTGCTTCTTATAAAGTAGCATGGTAGCAATGTTGTCAAACGGGTTTCTTATAGCATGAAGGACAACTATAGGTACTCCAACTGCTTGCTTTATCTCCTTGAATGCCTGCTTAACACTTTCCTTTTGATTTTGAAACAATTTAGTTGTCATGCCTCCAGACTTATCTCCAATTACTGCAATGTCACCATCATACCTTCCTTGCCATAGTCCAGGGATGTGCAGTGTGTATCCTTTCTTTGTAGCACCCACTCTCCTAAGACCATTAATTGAATTGTAGCATGAATTGTTATAAATTGCACTGTACAAGTAACCTCTATTCATATCCTGTTTGGACATTGTAGTCCATTCATGAAAGAGCGAGTATTCGTGTGATATGACAATGTGAGGATGAGCATCAAGAATGCTTCCAATGATGCTATGTCCACTTCTCCCATGCCCAACAAAGAATAAAAATTTCTGGACAGACTTTGTGACATTTTCAGGCAAAGAAACATCAGAGCATTCTTGAGGTTGAATTGCTGGTGCTCTTTTAGTTAGAAACTTAGCCCTATTGTAGCTTTCTGCTCTGGATGATGTTGATGGTATCAATCTTTTAGCAGAGATGCCACTCTTTTTTGTGAATTTAAAAGTTGGCAGTTGTTGCTCTAGCAGCAATATTAGGAACAGAATAGTTATACCAAGGACAGCTACGTGAGAGCATCTTCTTGACAGCATAGCTCCATCAGCAAAGGATATGCATATGCTGCAGGCCAGCCACTCCTCCAATATTTATAATCGATCAGAGCCCAATTAATAACAGGCGTGGTTTTAAAGCCACAATTATTCTGCGGTAAGGTGCTAGACCACTACTAAAGGAGCGTAACGATGACATTTGGCCCACAGCCTCTCCTTTTCAAAATAATATCAAGATGAAACTCTTCAGAAGGAAAAGAAGTAAAAGTATCAGTAAAGGAGGCTCATCCCAGCCGCAAAGTGCTCCTGCGAGTCCTCCAGAGATCTCCCCCGAGGTGATAAATGACTCGTCCCGCCCGCCTCCTCGCTCCGCATCGCTGCAGAACGTAGCTCTCGGTAGGAGCAGGTCCTCTGAGAGTCTATCCAGTGTGGCTAGTGTGGATCTGAAAGCTAGCACCATAGGGACACTGGATACCTTCGCTCGCATGAACACGGCAAGACGAAGAGGGGGACACAATGAGAAGGTGGTCATGGTCCCATACTTTGGGCACTTTGCTGGCCAGCGGATCATATTCGACCTGAAGAGGCACACAGACTTTACTGTCAATATCAAGGTCAAAAGTGAGAGCCAGGTCATTGCCTCTCTCTGCCATAGACAGAGGCAGAAGGAAACAGTCAGAGACCAGTGCATCAAGTTTGCACATGAAGTGACCACTCATTTGCCTCATCAGCAACCCCCCTCTCTCTCCTTCCTCTGTGAACAGACCATTATACTAAACCTCTCCAATATACCATACTGGATGTTACCTCCTCGATACAGTGCACAGTTCGATAATCTAGACTGCCAATCCCTTCAAGTCCATGTTTTCCCTTCCTTCCTTTCTTCCTCGACTCCTCTACATATGAAACTAAAAAAGAACTTATCGGTACGAGAGCTGCAGTGGATGCTCTCACAAAAGTTGCATATAAATAATCCATCTGCAATCACCCTTTATGTGAAGGACTCTCTCGAAACCCTCCCTGCTCTCTCTTCCCTACCAGCAGAGCTGACAGAGCTAGTATGCATCATTGCACCATCAGCACAGCAACATCTAAACAGACACAGATCTGATAAGATTAGGTCTAGCTATCCCAGCCTTTCCTTATGTGTATCACTGATTGGCAAAGGACTAAAAGAAATACAGGTCTCCCCCTCAACTCCGCTGTACGTGTTTGAGGAAATCGTTAAACAAGAATTTGGGCTGCGATCGGATAGTTTCCTATACTTGCCAGACGTTCTCTCAAGACATTGTAGATCACACAGTTCGCAGTGCCCTTTACGAATGCATGCATTGCTAGACACTTCTTCAAGTTCTTTCCTTCTCCTCGATCATCATAAAAGAAATTTCCCAACGCTCCAAGGCCATGTCACTGTCAGTCAGCAAGAAACACTCCAGTCTCTGCTCCTCTACCAAATGACGATGGGGGAGCTGGACCTCCTCAAATGTTGTCCTGTCATATGTTTTGAGGTCCTTGGTCCCACAATACCAATTGCCTTTAAGACTATGAACGATCTAGATACAGACCCAACTCGATTCTCAGTTGTTGATATACGTCCTCACGCTGTGAGTGTTAATCCGGACTGGTCTATACCCGTATTATTGAAGTATCTCACTTGTGTGAGTGGGTTTCCTTGCAATACTATTAAAATTGGAGACAAAACACTCCAGAAGAGTGTCTCTGATGATTTGCTGCAGGTGAAATGGTTTAACATTGTCAGTAATACAATCTACAGATTCCCCACAAACATTCCTACAGCTAAAGCTTAAATTTTTAAAATTATAACGTCTCTGTATTGTTTTCATATTTATTTTGTTGTATCATTTTGTAAATTTTGTTTTTGTCGGTAAAGAATTATTATTGTTGTTCATAATAAAAACTAATTTTAATCTCACGTGATCTGCTAATAAAAAATGGCGACTCCAGCGGAGACAGAAAAGAAGAAGGAAAATCCAGCCGGCAAAGCGCAAGAAAGCTCACCTGCTGCAGAAAACAAATCAGAACTTTCTCTTGTTGATTTCTGTACTCAGTTAGAGGACTATACGCCTACAGTAAGGCAATGCAGGCCATTGTAATGCATACCTATGCAAATGCACAGTCTGTAACTATGATTATATACATCTATGTACTATAATGCATGTGGATTATATGTACGTGTATTTTGTTACTAGATACCTGATGCAGTGACCCAGCATTACTTACAAATGTCTGGGCTGAATACCGACGATCCAAGAATGTGAGTATTAAAAGTGTGCGTAATGTTGCTTACATCTAATTCTGTATAAGGCATGTGGGAAACTATCGTGTTAAATTTTTGTACATGGTTCATGGTTGTTAATATTTAGAGGAATTTTTGGTATTAGGAAGTTAGGGCAGGCTTCACAGTCAAACCTGTCTATTCTAGACATACATGTATGTATACCATTCTGATTATGAACCTGTCCTTATTTCAGAGGTTCATTAATACACATTACTATTGTATTGGGACTGATACTACCTGTCCTGATTATAGAGGCCTCCTTATTTTAGAGTGTCTGGTTTGATTGTACATGTGTGGTTAGGCTAATGACTTGTACTTGCACCAACCACCCACTGTATTTCAATCCTTTAAGAAATAGTCCCTCCACTATGAATCATTTGTGTGGTTGTACGACGGTCGGGCCGTATTGTCAAACACTAAAATTTTGTTGTGTTTCAATTTGTTGTTATTGAAATCGTCTAATCAAATTTCAATCTTCTAAGCATTCCTTATAAGGCGTTGGAGAATTACCGTTTCGGCGTAGCTTTATCTCCGACAAAGAATCACTTCAAAACCGACGAGTGGGGCTGATGTGTATATGCATAATACTGGTAATGAGAATGGTTTATGTTGTATTGTTTTTTTTATTTTGGTACTTCAATGTACTGCAGTGTTGCCCTCCTAAGTAGCTATTGGATATCAGGATACAGTGTGTAAATGATAATTTGTTGTTAGAAGACTCATAACAACACACACACACTCACTCACACAGACATACATTGTATATAGATGTACTGTATATATTATACTATTTTTGTATGTACATACGTTATGCTCATGCTTACGCTAGAGAAACTTCATTGTATTAATTGGATTATTGTGCATGACATGGTGGTGTCACATAAGAAAGACAAGAGTCTCCTTCGCTCTTTCTTGTGCTTTGTACCCCCTTCTCTCAGTTCTGTGTGGATTCTTTGTTGTATTTCTCTCTCCCTCTCCTCTTTTTATTCTTTCTATTTATTTTAAACTTCTCTTTTTCTCCCCTTTCTGCCTCTCTCTTTCTCTCCTCTCTCTCTCCTTTCTCCTCTCCCTCTCTGAAGCCTACCATGACCTCACCACAAGTATACACTTTTTGTAGCTTCCCTCTGACTGTGGGTATAGCCACATAATCACCACCCAGCACTTTAATGTATTCACAATCAGTCGAAAGAGTGTGGTCCTATGCTATTGAGTGGGAATCCAGAGTGTGGAATAATAGGTAATTTGAGCTTTTAACACTTAAAGGATGTAGTAGGATAAAACTGAATGTGTGTTTAGCATACAGTCAGACCTGTCTATCCTAGACACCTTTGGGAGCCAATAAATACTGTAGAAGTGTCCTTATTTCAGAGGCTCATTAGATATTGATACACATTTATATTGTATTGAAACTAACTGCTACTACCTGTCCTGATTATAGAATTGTCCTTAGTCCACAATAGTAGGTTTGATTGTATTATAGGTATTGTGGCTGTATTGTGTCATAGCTGGTCTATAGGTTTTTAAATGGAGTGTTTTGACATAATAATTATAAGCCCCTAAAGACATGCCTTTCTCCTATTGTGCTGTACAATGTAGTGACTCCTGCTTCCAGCTGTCACTGTGTATTGGGTTGACATTGTGAATACAAGCCTATGTACCTCCTATCCACTGTAGGATATACAATGTAATACACTTAAATAGTCAAGCAAGTTGCATAAGATACAGGAGTAGCATTTAATATTGCATTTCTTTAAGATTTACATTGCTACATTTTACAATTATTAATTATAATCACATATAAATTAATTGTTATGCATAAGTGCCCTAATGTCTGTTCTACAAGTTTTTGTTATTTTTATTGCAAGTGTTTGTGGTTCTTGTGGTAGACAGTGCTCCTCCTACCCCAGACCACTTATAAGAAATGCTCCCTGGGAGAACCTCCACCTTGTTTCCCCACTGATCTGTTTGAAGGGACTTCCCTAATCCAGTTGTGGTTTTTGTGTTGCCTAATGTTCATGTGATGTCTTGCTTGATGTAGCTAGTATACAGAATCCATACCAATAATTTAATATTATTAAATTTGACGTACGTGTGCATAGTATAGAGTCTTATAGTGCATGTTATATGCATGTAGTACATGTATGCCTTATCATCATTATAATATACTAAATTTTGTGTTTATTATTCTGTAATTATACGATGATGTGATCCTTGTACTGTATATATGTCACGTAATGGTGTATGTACACACACACACACACACAGACCTTCATGTAATCTTTCCAATTTGATTGATTTATATTTTAATGTTATTGAGGTTAAGCTTATCCTTAATGCCTACATGTACATGTAATGGAGTCGTGTCTCTTACTGTTAATTAGCCAGGAGTACATGTACATGTACATGTATGTGTGTTTTGTGGTGATTGCTAATCACGGACTAACATGTTACTGATAGTGTTTCTTACTCGTCCTCTCTCTTTGTTGCGGTTATAGTTACGATGACGCATGTGTCTTGTTTTATAGTAATAAATTATTATGACGGTAAATAAATAATAAAGATTGATTCCCTTGATAGCGATCAAAAGAGTAAGCAGAGGCCGGAGGGTAGCTGTCGAATACAGAGAAAAAGAGAGAAAGAAAGAGAGAGAAGGAAAGAGAGGGGAAGAGGAACATAAAACAAAGGAAAAGAAGGAGAGACAGAGAGAGAATTTAAAAGAGAAAGAGAGCACAATGGAGAGAGAGAGAAAGGGGAGAGAGAGGAGATATAGGAATTAGGAAGGAAGAGGGAGGAAGTGTCTACATGTAAAGGTCACATTGTGGTGTTGGTGATGTCATTTGTGGTTGAGTTTATATTGTTTTACTAGTCCTCAATTACCTTTTCCTTCATGGTCTCACAACAGACACTCGCTCACTCTCTTCCTCTTTATTTTTGCCTTCCTTGTCTTGTCCATCACTTTTTAAGAATGGGTTCTAATCCTCCTCTATCTTTATTTCTCTCTTTTATTTGTTACCTTTTTCTCCCCCCCTCTCTGTCTCCCATCTTGTTGTGTACTCATCATCATAATCACTGCTAGTATAGTTACTGTTTGTATCTTTTGATGTCTCCCTCTCTCTCTCACTCTCTCTTTGATGTTACTCACCATCTGCTCTCATGATAAGAGAGATTTGTATTAAAAACCTGTCTGACCACTTGTGTTTATAGTCTCCAGACAGTGGAACGGGATAGTGTACACATCATTGAGTGTATTAGTCTTTAGTCTCTGCCTCCTTATGTGATATCCTAACCTCAGCTATTGATAATGCGTGTGCCTTTGTGTAGGGCTATCTGCTATATATGTTAAGGTTAGGAGGATTATGCTCTAAAATTGCTCTATTATGCTATGCTGCAATTCTCAGGAAACAGCTCTATTATGCTCTACCAATCAGCCATTGCCTATGAATTTCATTATAATAACTTAGCCCCACTCAAGAATGTGAGCCAGTAATTCAATTATGAAGCTCTTGAAAGTATTTTGTGAGCAATAGTAGCTGTTTAAACACAAGAACAGTTAATTCATTGAGTGCAAGTGCCTGCTTATTGCATTTCTCAATGCAATAGGGCTATCTGCTACAGCCTTTTGCAGAAAACTTGCCACCACCAGTTCTATAGTCACGCGATGATTAGCCATAGGCTTAACTTAATATTTTTCTGAAGTCACACGATCAGACTGGTGCAAGTTTTGTGTAAAGGGCTATCTGCTATATATGTACAGTGTATGTGTCTAATGTGGTTTGTGTGTGTGTATTGATATGGTAATGTGTGGATCCTATTGTCTGTCTGTTTGCATACATGCACTTTTGTATCTACTACACTGCTACTGCTACATAGATAATGCATGTACATAATTAAATACAGTTATACACATATCGTGTACTTGCTTATCTGAAATTTGTATTAGAATTGGATTTTTTTACGAATTTTTAAAGTTGCTCCTAAATCGGGCCAAAGTCCCTGTACTATAGTACAAGGCCAAATTTTGCCAAAATTGAAAAGGAAAGAATTCTGCATTTTAATATATTTTTTTCTGATACATATACATGTACTTATACTGCATAGAAATTTTGAACTAATTCCGATCAGTTTTGGATCTTTTATGAATCTTTTTTTAATTGCTCAAAAATTGGGTAAAAGTCCTTGTACTATAGTACATGGTCTTTGAGCAATTTTCGTCAGAAATGACTCAAAGAGAAGCCTTGATTTTTTATCGTTATATTCTGATGCGTATACATGTACTTATGTATGTCTAGTACTGTCATTACTATTGGTTATGCTGTGGTTTTAAGGAGTGTGGATTTGTTTGTATTAGTTTGATTTAATTGTGTAAATATTTTATAATAATAATAATAATAAGTAATTTAATTGTTTACATTTATAACATGCCTCTCTCTCTCTCTCTGTATCCACATGTACACATGTACATGTATGTTTCTCTCCTATCCATAATGTGTTTAAAGTACGTGTGTACATTTAATTAGGTTTTGGGCAAAGTGCCAATACATATGCTTGTACCACATATAATCTAATAATAGGCATTTTAATATTTTAGCGTGTAACATTTAATTAAATGTGTGGGTGGATATTGAAGCTCATTTTAAATTTACTTGCTCTCTCTCGTTTTTCCTCTCTTTTCTTTCTCTCCTTCTCTCAGTATTCGTTTAGTCTCTCTTGCGGCTCAAAAGTTTCTGTCGGACATTATTAACGATTCATTGCAGCACTGTAAAATGAGGGGAGCTCCTCAAGGATCAAGAAAAGGAACAAAAGTAATTTAATAGCAGTAGTCTATTTATCTAATAGCAGCTGTTAGATCTAGAGGGAGTTTTATATTTGATCAATAGGTCTCCTAAAATCTACGATTTTCAGCTTTGGTCTTGCAAATTTAGCCTATAGGTAACCCATGTTTAGTTAGATTGGTCTCTCAGAATTATTTCTAAATGTACGTACATGTAACGATCCTATTAACACTTGCCAAGTTTTACATACATGTACTTTTATTGCTACACAGGGCTTCCCCACGAAAAATTTCCTCCTTTTCATTTTTGACGAAATTTGGCCAAAATCCCTGTACTATAGTACAGATACTTTTACTCAATTTTTGAGCATCTTTAAAAATCGTAGAAAATCCAAACTTGATTGGAATCAGTTCAAACTTGCTACACAAAATAAGTACATCTATTTGCATCAGGAAAAATTATAAAAATGGAGAATTTTCTCTTTTTCATTTTTGATGAAATTTGACCAAAATCCCTGTACTATAGTACATGGACTTTTGTCCGATTTTAGAGAAGCTTTAAAAATTCGTAAAAAATTCAAAGTTGATTGGAATTAGTTCAAACTTTCTATGCAACATAAGTACATGTATATGCATCAGAAAATGTAATAAAATTGAGGAATTCTCTACTTGTCCATTTTGATGAAATTTGGTCAAAATCCCTGTACTATAGTACAGGGACTTTTGTCCGATTTTGGAGAAACTTTAAAAATTCATAAAAAATTCAAATTTGATTGGAATTAGTTCAAACTTTCTACGCAACATAAGTACATGTATATGCATCAGAAAATGTAATAAAATTGAGGAATTCTCTACTTGTCCATTTTGATGAAATTTGGCCAAAATCCCTGTACTATAGTACAGGGACTTTTGTCTGATTTTGGAGAAACTTTAAAAATTTGTAAAAAATTCAAACTTGATTGGAATCAGTTCAAACTTGCTACACAAAATAAATACATCTATTTGTATCAGGAAAAAATATAAAAATGGAGAATTCTCTCCTAGTAATTTTTGCCAATATGGTAGGTATTGTTTGGCCCAATCATTTTGAGCAAGTTGACTATCCACTGACAAGAAGGTGCATGATCAAAAATCCTGTGGGAAATCCTACTGCGACATATTGTTGCTCTTTGAAGTTTGAGCTATTACAAGTGTCTGAAATAATAAAAATGTTCAAAATGAATAATATTTTGATATTATTTTTCAATTTTTTAGGACAAACGCTATGTGCTAACAATGGAAGATCTGTCTCCAGCCCTTGCTGAGTATGGCATTAATGTCAGGAAACCAATGTACTTCACATAATGACTATCGGCTTTATTTCTTTCATGATCTTAATTCCTATCTTCTCATTAATGTCACTTCTCAATTATCTTATCTTATTTGATTTTTGATTTAGAACTAGTAATTATTATTATCATTATGCATAATTGAGAGGGTGTGGCTCATTCTCATTTAACGCCCACTCGTTTTGCAAAACAAGGGCGTGGCTCTAGTACAAGGGACAAAGATGTTTAAGAGAAAGAGCTCGAAAAAAGGCGACAAAAAGAAAGGGAGCCTTGGGAGGACGAATCAAAGGGAGGGAGAGGAACGACTATCGGGCGAGCTGCCTCAAGTATGGCTACCAACACCTCAAGAGGTAAGAAAAGAAGCTAAAATGGCAAAAAATATCTTGTTTTGTGTTTCAGCCACACCCTGATGGCAATGAGCTCTTACCTGGAGGTGAGGAACAGCAACGCTTTGAGAGCTTCCTAGTCAGAGAGGAGGGAAGGACTGGAGGCTGGGACGAGAGAGAAGAGCTCAATTATGCTGATATTGCAGCTAATTTGAGTATACAGATTGAGAATGGTGGAGAGGGTGCAGAAATAAGTCTCCCGACACAACAGCCTAGTAACATCAGGCCGAGCATAAGGCGACACGAGCAAGTCGACGAAGTGTTTGATTTTGATGAGGCCATACTGGAGGAAAGGGATGGGGAAATACAACACAGTCGGCAACCATCGTACAAAAGTATGGCCCAATGTACACTAACATTAGTTGCATGCAACTTTCCCATTTGTATAATGCAACATCTTCCATACTCCACTGACTCCTGTATAAACTGTATTGCATGGAACAAGTTGCATATTAGGTAGCTTAATGAAAGTGCTGCTTAGATCACATAAAATACTGCAAGCATTGTACTAGCTGTAGTATTCAATTGCTTATACTTCATTATTTTTAGGTCCTGCATTGTCAGCAGTGCAGTCAGAGACTCATAGTTTATTCAATTATGCACAGTCCACAGTCTATCATGTTCATTTCCTTGGTATGCTCTCCAATATTAGCAACCTGTGGGAAGGAGAGGTAGGAGGAAGAGAAGGCAGCAGTGACCCAAACAACCTCCTCAAGTTGATTGAACATTCCCAGGTAAAGCAAACATGCATTATTTGTTGGCATTATTTAAAAATTATTAATTATAATTTTCTCATAAAAATATTATTTTATTTTTATTATAGAGGCAAGGAATAATGCCTTGGGTGCATCAAAAAGGAAGTCAAAGGATACTAGTGATCTCAAAGTATGGAATAAAAGTGACTGACACAAAGAGACAGGTAGTGTATGCATAAAATGTGGAAGCTAAAACTTAATATCCAATAAGTCATAGCTTAATGTTGTGTATTTTTGTTCACTAGAGGGTATACGTGAGACACACTTTGCATAAGATAATAACAGTGGTTCATTTCATTGATATGAGAGGACACTCGCTACTGGCAGTTAAACTGAACCACACCAATGATGAAGAGGATGGAAGGGATGAAGAAGAAAGTATTGGATCGTTTGATTTATTTGTTTATGAGTGTGAGAGTGAGGTAAGAAGTCACCAACTTAGCCACATTGAAGGATTTTGTTTGGCCCATTTCTCAGTTAAAATTTTTAATCAGTTATAATTCTTCTCTCTATTTTCTGCAGAATCAAGCTACCGAAGTATGTGTTATGCTAGGGCAAGTATTTGACTCGGTACTGAATAAGATGAAACTTGAGGATAACTTGGGAATACCACACTGAGCAAACAAAAGGATTATTATTATTTATTACTATTATTATAAGTTAATATGTCTTTTACTACTGATATTATTATTATCATTATAGTACTATTGTACAAATTGAGTAGTAGTCAGTTTGAATCACAAAGTCAATAACATTGGTGCATCTTCACACATATTCCAGTCACAAACTATATTCTATCAAAGCGACTACCAACTATAATAAGCCAATAATTTCTATTCATTGTCTGTATGATTATTATGTAGATTAAATTGGTTACAGAGTATATAAATGGGCTAAATTAGGGTTAAATAAATAGAATTAGCAATTAAGGCAATAGAACTTGACAGTTATTATTGCCTTAAATTTCTAATTCTGCTAACCTTCATTTAGCCTGTGTAGATTTATGTATAGCTCTAATCATGTAGTAAAAAAATATCTATGATCTATGATCATATAATATCTATGATTGGATTAATCCCGGGGGCGTTTATCTGCACTAAAAATAGCATGGGGTTTCTATAATTATTTTTAGCAAAGAGACCGGAAGCTCATACATAGATATTGCAATTAGCTATGTGCGGATAAAATCATAAATCCTATAGAACCAGAGAACTCAATACTTGTGACTCGTGAGACAGAGACAGCAGCTGCACTAGACAGAAAAAGCAATTTCTTCCATCATAACAATGTATGGATCAAATAGTAAAAATACTGGATCACCAGATGCCTTGTCAGATTCTGCTGTTAAATCACCAACTAAGTTGTCCAAGTTGGAGTATTTAATTATTATATTGTGTTTAGCAGTAGCATCTTATGTTGGTGTTATATTGAGGATATACCTATCTGGCTCATGTATTTCATCATGGGATGGAATTAAAAATTTTGACTCACTATTGGTACAAATCCTTGGAAGTGGATTAATTGGTTACCTGGTATTTCATGAGAAAAAAATTAATAAAATACTGTACATAACTCTTGCAACTGGCCTGTGTGGTTCACTAACTACCTTCTCTACATGGAATTCTGAAGCAGCAATTGTCTTATTGCAACTAAATGAAACATCACTGGATGTTATGCATGATGCCAACTACATTACAGGAGCAGTTTCATATGGAACAGTGTTGATATTAGGCATTGGCATGCCAGTATCTTCTTTTTTTTTTGGAAGAAATATTGCTAAATTATCAAATAAGCCTTTAATTTTTTTTAAGAGTCCACCATGTGCACAATGTTGCAATAAAAAATTAGGGTGCCTATTTGCAGCATTGCTATTTGTGTCATTCACTGTCTGCATTATTGCTTGTATGCTAACAAATAAGTATTTCATTATATTTTCTCTTTTGTTTAGCCCATTTGGTACATACTTGAGATGGTGTTTGTCTAATTATTTTGATAATTGTTTTAATAAGAAATTTCCTATAGGAACACTAATGGCCAACTATCTTGGATCACTAATACTGGCGTTGTGCATGGTTGCTCGATTACATGTTTCTAATGAAGTAGTCATCATCAATGGAATAATAACTGGATTTTGTGGTAGCTTAACAACAGTTTCCACATTTACTAGTCAAATAGTGACACTTTCATTCCCAATGTCAATATTATACATTACTATTTCTCTGACAACAGTTCAGATATCGTATGTTATAGTTTTACTCACTTATTCTTTGATAGCTAGTTAATGAATTTTGACTTATTTTTATTACACTGTTTTTAGCTAAAGTTAGAATGTTTTTGATATTATGTATGTTGAAAACTGAAGTGCGTCTTATCTTATTAATACATAAGAACACTTGAATACTGCAATAAAGAGAGTGGGGTTTCATAGTTTACATAATAACAATACTGCAATAAAGAGAGTGGGGTTTCATAATTTGCAAAAGAACAATACTGCAATACTGTACTGTAACAGATACCTCCCTGTCTGCTGGTTATGGGCGAGATAAGTGGTCTAGGGCGTACTTATCTCAATAACCACCTACAGACCTTATTGTTATATTATGTTGTTGTTATTGCTTGTAGTAATAATTTAAAGGTAAGATATGAATAGAAAAAAAGTGAGATAGAGAAGATAGCAAGAGAAATTAACAAAAAGAAAAATTAAGATAAATAGCTGCAAATGATACAAATGAACTAAAAAGTTGTGATTTAAGCTAAACTGTGTCCATCTTTAGAAGATCCTGTATCTGCAGTGTGTGACTGCTGGTCAAACCAATAGAGAGGACACATACCCAATAAGCAACCAATTGTAACACCAATAACACGCCCCTATTCAAAATAGCTTAATGTTACACAGAGTATATACTTTGTCAAAAGTACCATGTGCATGTGCATGGCATAGACCAAAAATTTAAGCAGCATGCAGTGAATATAACAGAAAAAGTATAGAAATAGAATGAGGAGAGAGAGAAGAAGTATACTCACAATTCTTTGCATCCATCTCACGGAATTGTGTCTCAATTGTGGAGTTGTCAGTTTTGGATTTGGTAGACCAAGTCTACGGCACAATGCCTCAACAGAATCAGCTAACCTTTGTATCAAAGGAAAACATTAATCTATCAGACTGCATGCAACAATATACTCATATAGTTTAAAGTTTTGTACCATGAACATTGACAAAAGCATAAAAGTATAAGTGTTATGAATGTTCAATGCATGACAGTGCATGGAGTGCATACCCTAGTCCACATAGATCAGATATTAAATTTCCCAGTGCAGCTGCAGCCATAGTTGAAATGCCAAGTGCAACTCCAATAGTAATATCAATGTATTCACCCTAAAACAGAATAGGAATATTTATGGTTCCTCTAAAAATCCAATTATGAACAGAACAAGCTGAAATGTCAGACTGTGATACCAGTTACTCAAAAATTTGTAGCCAAAAAGTTGGCCCAATCTTAATTTCTAAATATTGCATAAGTGTATCGCCATTATGTTAATTAAGAACATTAATAGAATTACTATGAATTTTTCACTTACTGCTATTATCATCACTGCATTGTCAAGAAAACCAAAACCCACAAATGGTAAAGCAGCTTCGGTTAAAACTGAGAAAATTAGCTTAAAAATAGATTAAACTAATATTTTCTTACCTAATTGAAGTTGTCTGTTTGTTGGTCTCTGAACTATAGAAATTATTTTCAAAAAAATATAAAAAATAATATTTATTTTGCAAAGATTGCACACATGCAATTGCTCGGCAATTAATGTTTTGACTGCAATAAAAAAACTGTGAATAAGTATTGGGTCTAACTATCATTGGATGAATCTGAAACCTTCAAGTGCATACAAACAATGCGAAAGTGTTGTTGTGTATAAAATATTCACAAGAAGTTGCTCTAGGTCCATCAGTAACAAGGAAATAGTAGGAGAGTAGCTTTAACATGTATATACAACATTCCTCCACTTTGAGCAATGAGGAAATACAAGCGATACTATTTATTGTAGCATTGTAGCTGACAAATTTGAACAAGGAAGATATAATTTGGTGGCCTGCACCAAAGAACAACGAAGTTTCATTTAGCATTAATTTTAATTAGTTATCATTGTACTGTAGTGCCAGAATGGTGCTTTCATTATTACTCATTTCATTTTATTGAAATAGGCCCACATATACATCACCTTTCTCATCTTCTGGGAAGCTTGTAGTATCAGAAAGAGCTTGTGAGAGATAGAGACGCTCTTTCTCACTCAAAACACTGACCAATCTCCTTGCCCCTTCCTGTGAGAGAGAAGTGGTACCATCAATAGAAGTCCTGCTTGTAGCTGTAGAATAAGACCCACAGCTAGACTGTAGCGAAATTAGAGCAAAGTTTCTAACAGAATCCCTTCTTCTCAGTAACAGGCTACAAAGTCTGGGAGAGGGCATTTTGATTTAGCTGATATGCGTGGGTGTCAGTATGAATCCAGCCCCGCCTACATTTGCTACTAGTGGGCGTGGTGAGTTTTAAACTCAAAGGGTGGGGCTGCTTGCTGGAAAGAAAACGCAAAACAAGATGAATACAGGCTCCCCAAACAGAACAAGCGGTGTTAAGGTAACTTAGAAGCAAGCTGGCAGTAGATAGTATTTTATCTTCTTTCCTGCAGCTACCAACAAGCAGTCATGAGCCAACACTTCACATCAGTAATAAAGGAAGGACACTCCTCCTTAATCCTGAGTATCTTCTTGAGGGATCAATAGAGAAGCACTGCTATGTAAGCTAATGATATGTAGCAATCATATACACACATAGACTAAAGCAGACTGCTATGGGGAAACTTTTTAACTATTGCCTCTGAAATTGATTGTCCTTGTGATGTTATGATTTGTGTTGCATTTTAGTTGCTTGGTGTCTTACAAAGTGTTCCAATGCACCAGAATCTATCCAGTCGAAGTGAAACTCTCAAATTACTGGACAAGAAAAGAGTAAGTTAAAAGAACAGCAACTCAGGTTCTTTCACACTAACATCTTCATCTTAGACTAATGGTGAGCTACCATGGAAGGTTGGAGCAAAGGAGAGAGTGACACTCTGGATATCAGCTTATGGCATAAAGATTACCAGAAATGATGAGAACTTTGTAAGTAGTCACTGGTGTCCCATTGTCTTGTATTTGAAGCAACTAAAACCACCTAAACTTCTCAAAATATATACATATTCCATGCTATTTAGCTAACCATTATCTTCACATAATAGTCAATACTGCATCGATTTGGTCTGCACGAGATTGCTTCAGTTAGTTATGTACATGATGACAGGGAGAATCTCCTTCTATTGAAAGTTGGAGGGGAGAGTCGTACACATTGTCAACTATTTGTGTTTGCATGTACCAAAAAGGTAAGCAATTATTTGCAAAACTTTTCCCCTCTAAAATGTCCTCTCTTTCTACATTTCTTATGATAGAAACAAGCTGAGGATATCTGCAATGTCATTGATCAAGCATTTGAAATAGTCTACACTGAGATAACGGTTCAAAAGTTGAGAGAGTCCATAGATGGTGGTTCATCTCCTCCTTCATCCACACAAAGAAGACTCCCCAAGCGTCTCTCGTCATCCACTCCACTCCCAAAACTGGCAGGTGTTCCACCTCCTCACTCAAGATCAAAGAGAAAAATACAACAATCACAAAGGATCCCCTCATCATCTGAAGAAACGTAAATACGATTTTAATACTATCTTGCATAAATTGCATGTTTACAAGTAAAATTTGATTATAGTATCATTTTTATTATATTTTAAGGCTCCGTCCTATGGATACACCTACAGTCACCATCCAACATTCACCTTCTCCAAGCACCGGAAGCAATCGTTCTGATCCACCATCTCCAATACTGGCTCCTTCCATTGCTCCAATAGTAGAACAACCTCAAGCTCCGATAGTGGCTCCTTCCATTGCTCCAATAATAGAACAGCCTCAAACTCCAATAGTGGCTCCTTCCATTGCTCCAATAATAGAACAACCTCAAACAAAAGAAATACAAGTAGAGACACACGAGCAAGTAGAGACACAGGATGATCCAGAAGTACTAGTAAAAAGATACATGGGCATTGTAAGGAATACACTATAAATAAATTCATCTTGTTTTCAAGTACTATCACAATTCACAATTGTCATTACATAACACATGTATAAAGCAATGCACCATACATAAAATGAGTGTGCATAGAAATTAAATGTCACTCTTCCTCTTTCTTCTGCAGTTGCATACTCAGTTGAATCTTGGGGAGCTAATAAAATTCGCTGATCATTTAAAGAACTACAGATCAGGCCAGACAGTGAGAGAATTCTGCCTACAGTTGGTGCAGCTCTATGGAAAAAAAAGACTATTCTTAATGGAAGGTAAAACAAAAGAGAGGGGAAGGATCATATAAAATACATGTATACATACAGAATTATTATTCTATTTTTCGTTTGATTAAAAGTCAGTCAACGCTACTAGTGATTGACTTACATCCAACGAGATTTAAATTTAAAAGCTAGTCTCTCACCTTTTGTCCACATTATAGTGTTTTAAAATTCATTTTAGCTGACATTTTTTCTTTGGAATTGAGCAGATCTTTTTTTTAAAAAAATTTATTTTGTTAGTTTCATTGACTCACTGTCAACTAACCAGGAACACTACCCCTATTTTTAGTAATGTTTTAAAATTGAAAAAATACA